GCCGCAAAAAAACGCGCGTCAACCGCTGCTGTGGCCCGACCTATCCCGCCATACCGCTTCGCGGCCGACGCCCACCCACGTGTGCTTTACGATCTTAGCCTGGTGAACGCGCTCGGCCACTGCAGGCCTCATGCCCTGCGCGACCTCTTGAGGGTGCGTTGGCGGGCCCCGGCTATGCGCAGCGCGGCGGTGGCAGCGTGGGCTCGTCGCAACGCGGCGATCTGTCACACGAGGAAGTGCATGGATCATGGCTCTATCGGTGGGGCGAGCCTGGCCAGCCGCGACAAAGGCGGCTCATCGGGACCGCGAACTGGATCTCGCTGATGCCGCGGGGACTGGCACGCGGCCACTTCGTTTGTCGCGGCGGCCGGCACGGTGTTTGTCGACTTCGGCTGTAGTGGCGGCTGGCACAGTCGCCGAGGACCCCGTGGCGACAGGCACAGAAACGTGAAACCAAAAAACTGTTGAAGCCCTCTCCCTGTCAAGGCTGACGGCCTTGCGTAAGCCGGGAGGGGGCGTGCGGGGAATAGCTACAGCAGACATCTTCCGCAGGTTGCTCGGGTGCTAGCACGTGCCTTCGCCCATGTTTTCGACGAGGCTACCCGGCCGAATCATGGCTTTGCCACAGCTCGCGCCGTATCGTTGCAGCGGCAGCCGTTTGCGCCACCAAGCTCGCCACCAACTTTGCCAGGATCCCGGCTCCTCTGAAGCCTCTTGTGCCACATGCCATCGGCAGTGCAGCCTGCAATTGCTTACATCATGAATCCCCATCACACAGCAAAATTTTACTAAAATTCTGAGTGTCAAAAAAACATGGACGGCGGCAAGGCACGCTACATATTGTCCAGCTTCGGCTTCGCCACCACAGCGCGTGGCGTTGCAGCGGCACCGCTTGGGGCATCGTGGCCAAACGCGTGTAGCGTCGTCTGCACTTTCGCCGCAACCACCTTGGCGGGGTCCCCGGCTCCGCTGAAGCCCGTTGCGTTCGGCCGCACGCGTCCTAGGTCGGCGCTTGTGACCATGGAGTCCCAGACATGTAACCTGCGATGGCAACCGCATCCGCATCTGCACACGAATGTGTAGGGCCAATTGCCACGAAACCGAGGCATTGCCAAATGTTGCCTCGATTGTGCTGGCTTTCATGAGCTGTTCCCTCAAAGGGCAGCAACATGCTGTTGGCGCGCTTGTCCAGGCGGCTGAGGGGAGTCAGGAACATCGGCCTCGCTGTCTTCGTGAGTGCGACAGCATCGATGATATCGATGTCTGGAGGTTTTTCAAGTTCTGGAGCCGTGATTTGTGCCCACGCCTCCCACCCCGCGCACTGTGTCGCATGGTTTTGCATCGCTTCGCCCCGCGTGCCCCGTGCAGCAAGATGAGGCAGGTGGGATTCCGAGTTGCGGCGATCTGACGGTTTCCCGACAGGCATCTTATCGTCTGTGGCGGTGTGAGCGAACAGCAGGCCCGAACAACTGTTCGTGCCTAAAAATTTTGCTTTCAGCCAGTAGAAAGCCTCACTTTCGGTGCCCGCATGCGCAACAGCCGTATGCCTAGCTCGAACAATGCGTTGGTTGTCAACCTGACTCAAATCGTGCGGCGGCCAAGCAAGCGCTGCATTTTGTCCAGCTTCGGCTTTGCCACCACAGCGTGCGCCGTGGCGTTGCAGCGACAGCGTTTGGAGCATCTTGGCCAAACGCGTGTAGCGTCGTCTGCACTTTCGCCGCCACCGCTGAGGCCCCTTGCGGTCAACCGCGTGCGGGTTAGATCAGCGCCGCTGAGCGGAGTCCCTGTCCCTTTATTTGCGATGGCAAACACATCCGCGTCTGCACACAAGCGTTTTTGGCCAGTTGCCAAAAAAAACCGAGGCCTTGCCAAATGTGGCCTCCGAGTTTGGCTTGTGCCAGCGAGCGTCCAGCGAGCTGTGCCCTGAGCGTGCTGCATGCGTTTTTCCAGGCGGCTGAGGAAGTCAGGAACATCTTTGCGACAGCATCGGTGCATGGATGCTTTTTCAAGTTCTGGAGCCGTGATTTGTTTACGCCTGCGCAACCCATCGTGCGCATCGTGTCGCATGCCTTCGCATCGTTTCGTATCGCTTCGCGTCGCGTTGCTCGAGAAGCTAGGTTTGGAGGCGGTGTATATTCTTGTTTCCTGCCCACATCACCGACGGCATGTGAATACTCTGAGTTCTCGGAGCATGGCATGGAGATGTCATGCCGACAGCAGGTGTTCGATGGTCCACGGCACGAACATGTCGGACGTTCGAAACCGTAGCAGCTGATGGCGTTTATGCCAGCGTGCGAGCTGCCAGCGAAAAGACCCGGAGCTTCCCGTTCGTTGGCGGTTTTGGCGCGGAGGTGGCCAACCCCTACCGGCTAGCACGGACCCAGTCATTGGCTTTGGGCTAACATGGCACCTCTGACACAAGTGCTGGTTTCACTATCACATCAAAAAAAACACGGAACTGATGATGGAGGCACATTGTGCACAACCAGAGACATGCAGTCACAAAGTCAACAGAGCCGGACCAAGAGCCGGAAACACACATTGCGTTGAGGATGGCTGGACCAAAACCTCGAAAAAAGCGAGGAGGCAACACGCAACTGGGTTTCTCCTGTACCTTTCAAGGTTGCGTTTCCTGCCGGGAGCTGTTGCGCACCGGAATGAAACGGCAATTATCAATGGCATGACACGCAACTACACGGCGCGCCCTTACTGCGCGAAGCTTCGCGGCCAGTCAGCAGCACATGGGGCATCTACAGGAACCGGTGCCGTGACCGGCCACAGCACCTCGGCATGAGCACCGACGACTTTAACAACGCTCGCCCGTTCGACAAGCTTCGCGCACAGTAATTTTGCAAGTGCGGGGCCGGAAGAAGCGCCCGCTCACGCAATGCACGCTGCCAAAACACCATGCGACAAACTGATTGGGGGACAAGTGCTTTGCGGTGGCCTGCGCGGCTGGCTTTAGCCGCCAAATTTCGCCCGGTTGCCCTCTAGTGCTTCTCTATTGGCAAGAGTCTGAAGAGGTGATCTTAAAGGTGTAAGCAACGCACACGGGTCACCATTCAGTGCCAACGCTCGACGTACACAACCACGCCCAAATTGCTTTTGTATGTTTTGTACTTCACAGGCTCGCATGATCTGCTGCCACATCTTACCAAAGCTGCTGAAGTTACCATCCGATGGATGCTCCGGTTTGCAGCAGGCTCTACGGCCGATATTCGTCGGGATGAACGTGTACGTGTTCAGAAGCTAGCGACGCAGCACCAACTGCCTCGGATTCGCTGTGTGCCGCGTTTGTCGCCACGTCCTGTTGCCTTCAGTGGTGTTTTTCCGTCGGTTGCCTCGTCGGCTGCTCGATGCGCGTGGTCAAAACGCCATTTTTTTTATATAGAATGTTGACACAACCGGCACATGTGACACACGCATTGCCACCGGATGAAGTTGGAATGTTCTCAACAAGTCTGCATTCCAGAAGCTCGGCGACCAGCGCAAAGTAGGCGTTGGATCGGAAACCCTGTCGCTCGCCAGCACGATGGCCACCAACAGTTTTGACCGATACAAGCCGGCCTATGAGCCGCAGAGACCTGCATGCTACGGTCAGAACCATGTTTCGGGAAGCTCACGCACGTCTGGAATGTCGTCTTGATGCCTCAACGAACACGAGATGTGGTTGGTTGAAACGCATGCGCCATCGGCAAGTTGACCGTGGACCGCTGTGGAATGATGATTTCCCGCGCTTGATCTTTGGCCTTTGAGGCGCTTTGCATAAAGAAACCTGCTGAGTCTCCCAAGACCCATTCCCCGGTTGAGGCTGTAAAGTTCACTGTAAAGGGTACATTGAAGGCCACGATTGGGCGGGGGAGGGAGGGGGCTTGCGGCAAGTGGCCTACTGAAGCAACTGCCACATCGTTGCTGCGTCCACGTCGCACCACCCAAACACCATGAATTCCGGCACAGCCACTATGGATTTTATGGAAGTTTTGCACTCACCACCGAGGGCCTTCAGCGAGTAGCAACGACCTGTCATCCTTCGGTGCTGCCCAAGTGCTTTCGCACGACAACACAACCGCCCTGACCGCACAAAAATTTAACTAATCAGGCGCTCATCTCATTACTGTCTTAAGTGCGCAGCACAGACCATTTCTGCACTGCGTCTGCGAGTATCCCAGTGCATGGACGTCCACCGGTTTTCGGCGGCGAAAGGGTGGGAGAGGCGGGAGAGCTTGAAACCAAACACGACACACACATCAACTCGCACCTATGCTGTCAGGTGCTCATCTCATTACTGTCTTAAGTGCGCAGCACAGACCATTTCTGCACTGCGTCTGCGAGTATCCCAGTGCATGGACGTCCACCGGTTTTCTCCAACCCCACATCTTTCCACCTCATATCATTCAAGCTCAGCCAGCCGAAAACTGACCAAACCAAGCAGAGGTCGGATATTGCATTGACTGCAAAACAAAAGCCTTCTCGAGGATGATGGCGAAGGAGCGGACCAAAGAGAAAACTCGAGCCTGTGCCGCAGGTCGAAGCAGATGCACGAACTGAACTGCCGTGATCTCCTGGACGTATATCTCCATCGTTCTGCTTAGCCACCGTCCGCGCCTTCTTAACAACTCTGCGTCCTCCGCGACATGGAACAACCATGTCGCGCCTCCTGCGCGCAACGAGCCCAAATCCAGACAACGTTTTCCTTGGAACTGCCAGACATTGGCACCCAGCCTCTGCACTAAGACATTAAAGCGGCTCCGCAACGTAGAAGCTGACATTGGCCAGAGCTTCTGGTCGAACTTCAGGTGTGCGAATGCAAGCTCAACGACTTGCAGCAGTTCGGGCTGGTCAACTTAGCACTTTGGTGCCTAGCAGCACGATAACGGGTCTTGGGTTCTTGAATGCTAGTGCAAAGGTTGTAGTGTGCGCAACGTCACTCGGCAGGACAATGTCGCGGCGGCAAGCTGACAGCGCCTCCCCAATCCTCAATTTGCCGCCCCAACAGAGAGCTAGGACGCCTGCGACCCGGGGCCAAAAGCAACTGCCAGGGAAGGGCAACGTGATGGGAATGGGGCTCTTCCCTGAGCCAGGCGAACGCCAAATCCCAAGCAAGCTGCAAGGCGCCGAAGAAGAGGCTCCTTGTTGGCGACAGCGTTTATGACTTCACTGTAATGGGAATAAAGCCAACCGGCCTCAAAAAGCTGTCGCCCATCCTGCACTAGGAGCCTGTTCAGCAGCCTAGTTGAAGGGGCCTCAAGTGAGAAGCTTGTCCAAACACTTGCCCTGCTGAAGAAGCCAGCCGGAAAAATTTTCAGTCGGCGGTCTTTGCGCTTCTGAGTGACGGGCTCCACCGGCCGTCCTACAGGCAATATCAGGGAAGATCTAGCCTGTGCACGCTGAGCGTCAGCAAGGTTTCGCGGCCGCAGGGCGCGCGTGCAGGCCGAAGGTCTTGAAAATCCTTTGGTCAATGATGTTGTCCTCTCTCTGGAATGGCAGCAAGGCAAAGCATGGGTTTGGAGAAGCCCTGCTCCCATCAACATCCTTGAGACTGCTGCCATTTTGCGCCTTCTCAAACATCTTGCTGCAAAAGGGCCCCGCAGGCTCGTGATTCTGGTTGACTCCGCCGTTGCATTCCACGCATCCTCCGCCCGTCACGGAGCCTGCGCCCAATCCTCTGCCGCATTGCAGCCACTTGCATCATAGCCGGCTTGTATCCAGCTTTCCATTTCGTGCCAACTCGCCTCAACTCTGCTGACTCGACTGGGGACTCCGCCATGCCGTTGCCAAGTACCAGCTCATTTTGGCAGGACCTTTCTCGGGATGAGCTGTTTGAAGCCCTTGCTATGCCCAGGTTAAGACGTTGGGCAGCCAACTGGGTCAGACTCTTCTTGCTTGTTAGTCGCACCTGGCGTTCCTTCCACAGGACCTCACGCCTCTTCAACTCCACTCGGGGTTTCCCTGGTAAAGGACTTTTGGGTTTGGGTGTGTTCTTCTCTTTCAAGGTCTTTTGGTTTTCGGGCAGCTGGGTTATAGCCATTGTTTGCATCGAAATAAAAATCTTGTTTGTCTGTAAGTTGATTTTCAATTTTATTAAACTCAAATGGGTCCAAAAGCAGCTCAATTCTGACCTTGCCCTTATGTTGAAGGCCGGCAAACTCTGGCCAACTTCCGACCCACGGTGCATGCGGAGAAGATGGAAAGCTCTGGCCGAGAGCGGTGCGGTGCGGCGCGGTGCGGTGCGGTGCGGTGCGCGGCATGCGGAGGAGATGGGGAGCTCTGGCCGAGAGCGCGGTGCGGTGCGGTGCGGGCACCGAAGGGGTGGCCTTGTATGTTCACACAGGAAATCCAAATCTAGGGCCCGTTTTCGGTGCCCAGACCAGAATTGAGCTGCTTTTGGAACCCATTTGAGTTCAATAATAATTGAAAATCAACTTACAGAAACAAGTTTTTTCTATTCGATACTGTTTGCATCAACTCAAGAAAACAAAAAACGCGGATACGCGTCTTATCTTGCTAAACTTGTCTTTAGCTGCCATTCAAGAGAACAGTCTTGCATTGTTCCCGTGCGATCTTTCTCGCACTGTTAGAGAAAGGTCCGGTTCCAAACAAGTTCACACTTTGCCGCCTTGCTGCCTGCTGTTCTAATTTTGGGGGAAGACTGACACAGGACTTAGACTGGAACCGACTGAGAGGCTGTTTGTTTTACTCGCAACGAGGAGCTGTGAAAGCCAGATCTGGCTTCCCGTGTGTGAAAAAAACGCCACAACTGGGCCCAAAAATGGCTCCTAAACTTGAGGCTCCAACCTGGGTGGCCTTGTATGTTCACAGGTCCAAAATCTAGGGCCCGTTGGAGCCTCAAATTGGAATCCAAGTTTGCAAGTTTAGGAGCCATTTTTGGGCCCAGTTGTGGCGTTTTTTCACACACGGAAAGCCAGATCTGGCTTTCACAGCTCCTCGTTGCGAGTAAAACAAACAAGCCTCTCAGTCGGTTCCAGTCTAAGTCCGGCGCAATGCCTTTTGCGACGCAGCGCTTGGTCGATCTCGTGGGCGGAGCTTTCGCAAGCAACGGTGTGTACCTTGCTGAGCCTTTTGCCGAAGTTCGAGAACTGTGCGTCATCCTGTGAGGGTGCGACACGGTGAGTTTTGCAGTTTTGTGTGCATAGCTTGGAGTCTGCTCAGCTTTTGAAGTTTTCCCAGTAGCCTGAGTACGATTGGTGCAGGAACGTTTTGCCTCGTAAAGAACCACTCTCGTCGAGTTTCGTTTGGGCTTCTCTTTTTCCTGGCCCCGGAATGTTTTTTTTCCGACCCCGCGACCCTTTTCAACCCCGGAAAGTCTTTTTTTCGCCTCGGTCTTTTTCCCGGCCTCGTTACGGGGCCCAAAAAAAAAATGTCTCTTTGACGACCCTGTTCGCAGCCGTCAAAGAAGGAACGACCGTCTTTTTCTCAACCCCGCAGCGTCTTGTGACCGACCCCGCTTCTTTTTCCGGACCCCGGAATGTTTTTTTTTCAACCTTTGCCGAACACACAGAGCTTCAAAAAGGAGGTGCAACATGCATTGCAAGCGAACAGGTGCAGTTCACAACTCCAAACTCCAAACCCAAAATCCCAAAACCCTAAACTCTGAATCCCTAAACCTCAAGCTTTAAAACCTTAACCCCCAAAAGCTCCAAACGCTAAAGTTAAAGTTCGACCTAAACCCGAAATTGAGAACTAGGGGCTGGTTCCCTGGACAGGTAGGGGGGGCCGGCTTGTATCTGCTACGACGACGGCTAAGACACCGCATGTTTGCAAATGCAAACACTGCTGCTTTTCTCAAGCAAGAGTCAAGAGTCTCTGCGCTCAGATGTCCGGCTGCTTTGAAATTGCGACGGCCGTGCGTACCCACGTGCCTCGATCCCGCCGCCAGCCAATCGAAAAAGAAGCCAGATCACCACGCACAATGGCTTCGGAGCTGTCTATGATTCCGCTAAGACCGAGTAGGGGCCCATCTTTGTCCAAACGAAACTCTATCAAGACCAAGAAAGCGGCCCCTTTGGAAACTGGGATGACTTTCTGCACCCGCCCTTCAGTGCGCTCATAGGGGCCGACGTCCTACAAGGAAAGGTTTCGAAGGCAAACAACAGCAAACACACGCGAGCACACTCGAGTCACTTGAGCAAACGACGAACCTCAATATTGCGAGGTTCTGGGTGTCCTGCCGGACAGAACAAACCCGCTCTTGCAGATATGAGAGCGGACGCACGAAGCCTTCCAGACGTGCAACAGCACGGCTGACATGAGCCAAGAGCGCTTCTTCGGTACACGGGGATGGTTCGAAGTCCTGAAGGCGCAGAAAAAGCAGAGAACAATGTCAATCTGTCAAGAAGCAGAGATGCAGCCGGAGAGCAGCTGTTACGACACCCGGCAGTGTCTGCGCAAGTTTTCCAAAAAACCATCCCTCGGGAAGAGCTCGGCAAAGAGACGCATCCAGGTGTGCTGCACGTACATCCTCCCACTTGGCCTTTAGCACGCAGGAGAGGAGGGAATCTCTTGAGGGCGCCGCACCAGCCCGTTACCATGACCGTGAAACGCACAGGTGTCACATACTATGTCACTATACTGCGGCACATCACATCTGAGAACGAAACTAAGTCCACTGCCTTGACCATCTGCAAGAGGTGCGTTTGCATCTCCACCGTCGCAGCATGCGTCTGAACTGTCCTGGATGATGCACACAGTGGAGATAGCACGAGAAGGAGAAGGTGCTAGACTCACAAGAATGCGCACATTTAGACATGAAAAGTTGCCTGCAAAAAGCTTGCAGACGAACATGCCACTCGTGCAGGAGCCCCAGCAAGGCCACCCGGAAGGTGGTATAGGCCGCTTCCGCTGCCGGAAGCCAGTTCTACCAAAAGCAATAGGTTCCTACGACTCAAGCAAACGTATATATAACTGACTAGCAGCAAGCGCCCGCCTTGACCTCGACCTTGCTTGCCGAGCTGCCTAATCCACTTCCAACAGGCACCAACGTCAGCAGGACATAAAGCCAAGGCCGCGACGTGAAGCTTCGGGCGGCACTCCTCCCATAACCCGACCGTTGCTTCGCACAAAGGCGGCAGGTTGCTGGGCACGTTGCCAGCCGCTTCGACCGCCACGCCTGGCCACTGTTCAAGCAGGCACATCCTAAGAACGAATGAGAACGCCAGCCTTGTCTTGGTGTGCTTGGAGACGCGTGTCCCAGCCATGAAGCTACGTAGCAACGAGCAAAGAAACCAGAAAGCACGCAACCGAAAGCTGCAGGCAACAACCCATGCTCATTGTGCACGGCGCGCAACTGGCTTCAATGCTGCTGCTAGGCACACACAGGCAGACCACGTGGCAATGGCACACAGCTTTTGTCATTTCGCATGGCATCTCACAGCTACACCAGGTGCCGGCAAGGACTCTGTCGTGTCCGACGGAGCGAGACATCCAGCGCCAATGTGCTGAGCGCGGTCACTTCAACTCAGGATACACTTTCCGTGGCTTCCGAACCTTTTTCGGAGCTGGTTTGGGCTGAGCTTTGCCCATGGCCTGCCTCGCGCGGGCGCCGGGAGGGCGGCCACGAGGCTTGCTGATACGCACATTCTCCAAGCTGAGATCGGCCTGACGGTGCGAGAACGTCAGCCCACGACAAAGCAGGATGTGCTCGCAGCCGCCCCACAGAGCATAAGGCAAACACGTGCAAGCTAGCCGCGCAGGCTCAACGGTCACGTAAGCGATATTGTCAAAGAGCTTCTTGCACGGACCATATTGAAACTCCCACTCCGACGCTGCCCCTGCACAGCGCAGGACACCAGCCTCTTGCAAAAAATGCTTCACCTGGTGAGGCGAGCAGACTAGAAGCTGCACACCAAGCTGCGCCATGTCCTCAGCGAGTACGGGAGCATAACAAGACATACGAACTGCGACAACGGACAGAGCATCCGTTTCAATGTCGTAAATATGGAAGGAAGGGCTGAGCTCAGAGTGGCTACGAAACAGCTCCGTCGCGGCAGAACGGTGAACGGCACTGAGAGTCTGCACACCGTGCAGATGTGTGGGATCAACATCCACGCTTTGCAAGTGCAGCGCAGTGTCGGAGGCCCAATCAAAGGAGTCTAACCAGTGGTCAGCATACAGGTTTTGCATGACTCCAAGGACTTCACCCAACGGTGCACGCCCACCCACGGACTCGAGTTTCGACTGCCATGCACTGTGAATGGCTTCTGCAGGGTTACTGCCGCAGCCAGTGCCCGAAACAATGCCCCGACATCCGACCCACCAACCTGCAAACCGATGATGTGGCAAGTATTCGTGCTCGTGGCGCAAGAGAGCCTGTGGCATTGCAGCGGTGTACGTGTTGTCCAAGTACGCAGCCACAGTGCATTCGCCCATGGATGTGAGGCGGGCTAGCAGTCCTCGCCAGCAGGCGTCAAAGATGGAGGCGCGAGGTAGAAGCCGCAGGGATCCTAAAACGGCTTGCAGCCACCCAAGATGAGCCTTCTGAAATCTGCCTGCTACCAACGCAGTGTGCGACAAACGACTGTCGAGCTCAAGG